AATGGAAGTCACCATTTCAAAAACAAAGTTGGATGATACCAAAACTAGAGAAGGAGTGAAGTGCTTGTTGTATGAGGCAAGATCAAACCCTGTGCATGACGTTCAAGCAGAAATTAACTTGAAAAAGGCCCTTCAAAATATAAATCCACAAATGGGTTGATCAGTTATGGCAAAAGATGATTCTACTGGACTGGGATGAGGACGAGCCTATGGAGTAGACGCTTTTCTGAGTTCTCCTGAACAAGCCTTCTTTACGATAGGGTTTGCCAAAACAAATGAGTAGAAAGTCTTTCGTCTAAACATGTATCTTTTTTAAAGAGCAATGCCACCAAAACCGAGCAAAAAATGAATGGGCTCTCATTTACCACGGAAGGGTACAATCTGCTGGTTGGATAGCACAGTTGCATTACACTGGTTGCATGACCAGGGTGAATATCGTCAGTTCGTCACAAATCACGTGCAAAAGATTCAAAGTCATCCAAACACCCAATGGCGTCACGTACCTTCTACTGAGAATCCTGCAGACCTCGGTAGCCGTTGTGCAAGTGTGACATATGTACAGCGGTGGTGGAGAGGCCCAGACGCAGACCAGGTTTGAAGACAGACAGATTTCCTGGTATCTGCAGGGTTTCGCAATATAGAGACTCGACCGCACTTTCAGCTCACCATCGTGGTGAATAGATATCCAAAACGATCCTTTTAACCAGTACTCTCCTTACCAACCCGGGTCTCCATTGAACTTTCCTGGAAGTGGCTCGAGGGAATTTCTCCAATTTCCTGGGTTTTATTATTCTTCAAGTCATGGTATGCAGCAAGGAGCAGAGCAGTTTAATCCCACAGTACAAACGCCATCGCCATCGCTCCCAACTGAGCCATCAAAGCTCGGACCTTCGACTCAGAAGAGCCGCGAGCGTTGGCGAACAAGAGACGAGGCTGTCCTGGTCCAGTTATGGGCCGATAATATCGACCGCCTGGAAAGCAACGACAGTAGGAAAGCTTGGGATGAAACTGTTAGAGCTTTGAACGATAAACAAGGCATCACAAAAACAGTAGATCAGTGCCAGTTTCCCGGCAGTACCCGCCAGTAAACCGATACCTAGTAAGAGATGCTATATGTCTTAAGTGCGCGACCGCAAGCCTGGCCATTATAATTGGATTATGTTATGTCGGAAATTGGCGCGATCATTTTTTGGTAGCGACATATGAGCACATGTCTTTAAACGCGACCCCTACCAATCCCTTCAGCGTCACTGGAGTAGACTTCACCAGACCTGTAAAGTATCTGCAGTGGAAATCAAAGAAGGAACAGCAGATGTCCACCTTGATATATTCTTGCAGCTTGACCCGTGCAGTATTCTTGGAATTGCTACCAGGCCTGGAAACGGGAGAATTTATCGAAAGCCTCAAACCCCTGATAGCAAGAAGAGGGAGGCTGACAAAGATTTACTCAGACAACGGGAGAACGTTCATCGCCGCAGCTAACTGGTTGAAAAAAGTACGCGAAGATGAAAGGCTTAACACCTTTCTCAGCACTCACGAAATAACCTGGCAGTTTAATTTGTGCCACGCCACTTGGTGGGGCGGACAGTTTGTACGACTCATCGGGGTTATGAAGGGTGCCTTCTACAAGACAGTGGGACAAGGTCAACTATCCTGGGACGAGCTCATTGAGGCGCCCCTGGACATTGAGATAGTACTGAACAACCGCCCCCTCAATTATGCAGAAGATGACATACAGCTACCCACGCTGACGCCAAACGCCCTGTTGTTCAAAAAGTTTAACATTTTGCCAGAACTGCAGTCGTATCATCTGATAGAAAAGGACCTCAGGAAACGAGCGAAATTCCTTCAAAGGAGTAAAGATGCGATTTGGTGCCGTTGGTCCTCTGAATATCAATGACCACTACTAGAACGACACCGCCTGAAGTATGGAAATTCAAAGAATCCTCTGTCAGTAGGGGATGTGCTGATATTGAAGTCAGAAGAACGAAACCGAAACTGCTGGCCACTTGGGATCATGCAGAAGCTAATTGCGGGACGTGATGGCGTAGTTCGTGCAGCTAAGGTGCGAACTCAGAAGACCGTCCTGGAGAGAGCCATACAACATTTGTACCCCCTGGAATTGTTGTGCGACAGATCAAATGACGCAACACCTCTCAACCCTACCGCGCCGCTATTCAGGTCCAGACAGGATGCAGCAGCTGCAGCAGAGATACGTATCCTAGACATTGCTAATGATGACCAGTGAACATTGAATTTGAGACACTCATATAGACTGAACTTTGAACCGAACATTTCATTTGGTGCATTACTCGATCGATGTCGTTTACTTTTTTTTTCTAATTTTCGTTAAAACTCGGTTTCCTCAGATATTACATATTATGCCTCGTAAACGAGCCATATGGGGGGAGTGTGTTTCGGAATCTGTTAAGCCGTGATTGACACTTAATTAGCTTTCTGTCACTTTGTTCACAATGTAGAGTTTTATAATGGACATTTG